CAATACTTCTAAACATTGAACACTCCATACAGATTTTTTTTTTACACTTCCTATTTTGAAGGACGACTGGTATAAAGCAGTGGAGACTGGTCCAAAAACGTAATTATTATGAATTTATGCTAGTTTGAAAGTGAAGATATTCATTCATATGTTACCAAATGTACACCATTAGTGGCTCTCAGCACGTCTAGCCGATAATTGATTTCAGTCCACATTCGCTGCAACATGTCCACAATTACAGTGACGATGGCATTCATAATCCTGGTCTTTAGTTCCGTGATATTTTCTATAGGTGTGCTATACACGATATCCTTAACATACCCCTTTTTCTTGCACGATTGCCATTACACAGGGTAACACTACTCACTGGAGTGAAAAACAACAATACATGACCATAAAAACTGTTTGAGTTGGATGTTGAAAAATGCGTGGTTGTTTTACCTTAGTTAGTTAATTATTAAGTTGTAAAATAGAAAAGACAAGTTTGGGCAACCCTGTACTTCAAATCGTTTCAACAAGACTGTAACTATATTATATTTCAATTTTTCTAAACAAAGTGTTTTAAAAACGGACAAAGTTGCACATAGCAGTAAACCTTTAAACAATTTTTATTATCTTTGTACAGTTAAAGTGCCTCACCACAAACAAATAATAATAAAAACGACTTTACATTAAAAACATGGATATGATGCATCAAGTGTGTACTATGAAATAATTTATATATTTTGCACTAAATATAAGCATCAGATGTTAGATGCGTATGGGTATTATCAAATTGTTTACTGTTTATCGTGATATGAAAAAGTATCGCAATAAACTCCTGTTTGCGTTAAAGTCAAGAATAATAATTTTTATTTCTTGCTTTTGAAGTTCATGTGTCATGCTGTTTTGTAGCCTATAGAGCGCTTAATTCTTCTCGTGATTCATGGCACGCGTAATTTTTACTGACGTCACGACAGTATAAATTGCAACGTTAAGTATCCCTTATGTGACGTCATTTTAGTGTCTACTGATTGACTGACAACTCACTACTGTATATGGTGCGAGTAGTTAAAACGTGACCCCCTCCAGGCAGCACTCGGAGAAATTATAAAGATAGAGTTAGAAGTAAACCTTCTCAATTGAATATGCGAAGTGTCTGCGGTGACCAGAAGGCTTAGCGTGATATTAACGCTATAACATAATATTGGAAGTTGTGTTAATAATTTACTGGGATAGTTATAAAAATTACAGTTATCAATCATGATGATCTAAGCACCAAAGTATTGAAACTTCAAAATACATCTAAGCAATATGCTCGACAATGCTAGAATATTTTATTTTGTCAGTAGATGGTACTAGCTTTCCATTGTATATATCCCATTAAGTAAGGAGACACTGAAACTTTCGGCCAGGTGGTTAAGGCACTCGACTCGCAATCTGAGAGTCGCGGGTTCGAATCCCTGTCACACCAAACATGCTCGCCCTTTCAGCCGTGGAGGCGTTATAATGTGATGCTCAATCCCACTATTCGTTGGTAAAAGAGTTGGCGGTGGGTGGTGATGACTAGCTGCCTTCCCTCTGGTCTTACACGGCTAAATTAGGGACGGCTAGCGCAGATAACCCTCGTGTAGCTTTGCGCGCAATTCAAAAACAAACAAACTGAAATTTTCCATGTTATATATTATTACTACTACGGCGGTTTGTTGAAACCACTTTTAAGTTGTGTGTGTTT